TTGCTGAGCCCTCTTTGCCCAAATGTCTAGAACTAGACGCTGACTTGAGAAAAAGAAAGAAAGAAAGAAAGAAAGAAAGAAAGAAAGAAAGAAAGAAAGAAAGAAAGAAAGACCAGAATTGTGGCAGGGGAGAAGGTTTCCTAAGGAAGACAGCGGGGAAAGAGAATGCAGCGGCTGTCATGGAAACACACGACCTGCGGTGATCTCAAGAAGAAAGGCAGTAAGGCTTGTGTGGGGGCCAGCGGACGTCATTCCCTTTCCTGGCTACTTTTCTTTTTCAAGGTTTCCGCTCCAAATGGGGACAGTTCAAACACCAGCGTTGCTCGGAGTTACCTGGGCCTTCTTGTTCAAAAGGCGGATTTCCTGGCCCCACCCCGATATTCAGAATGTGTTTTTGTGAGGCCCAAGAAGCTCCTCTTTAATACCTGCCCTTCAGACTATCTATGAATCAAGAGCATCGTCTCCTGTCATGTGCTCCTATCTGTGGGCTTTCGCTGTCATTGCCAAGGGAAACAGAGGTACCAGGAATTCAAGGTTGAACACCTACCAGGCCCCTGACCCAATCAGTGACATTGACCTGGAGGCCATGTGTAGGAGTCCCCATCTTTCGGAATTAGTGATGTGGTTAGCGTAGCAACGTGACTCTCTGTGGACGGAAGGAAGGAGGTCGGATGTGAGAGTCTCCCTCCAGAACATGTGTGCGTCATCTGAGTCATAGCTTGTATCTTTACTCTCAAAAACAAGTCATTTTTGTTCCTGTCAGCATCTTGGGTGGCTCACAACAAAGGGGGCAAACTGGGTGTGCGCTGAGGTGCAGAGGTCTGGATGCAGGGCTCACGTGGCTCTAAGGACAGGCTGCACTAGGGGAAGGTAAGAAACATTGTTCCCTGGGGCCAAGTGGAATGCAGCCTCCTGGAAGATGACACAGGAGTGAGTTTTTGACCACCAGGGTTTGGGGTGGCCTAGCTCAGAGTTCTCTGGGGAAATGAATTTCAACCTAGATATTCTTCAAAATAATGTGAGGCTTTATGTTAAAAAATAGAGCTGTCCAGGTCTCACCTCAGATGTGTTAAACTCAACGTTCAGGGGTGGGACTCTGTATAATGGTCCCTGGGAATTCTGGAACAGCCACTCTAGCATTACTCCAGGGAATGAATGACATGGAAGCCGCTGAGGGGAGAAGGAAAATCATTCTTTTTCTTTCTTTTTTGTATTTTAGGGAAGGGTCTACAAGGTTTTCAGGGTCTCACTACTAGATCAGACTCATAGTGATCTGCCTGTTGACAACCTCCCAAGAGCACCACACCCAGTCTCAATTGCTGTCTCAGTGTGCCCTGGGGGCAGGGCTGGCATAGTAGGCCTGGGGATCAAGGAAAGTCATTCTCATTCAAGCACAACCACCCTCTCTCTCCCTGGCCCATCTTTGTCCTTTTTCTTCTTCTGTCCCTTGCCACTATCGTCTGTCTTGTGAGGCATCTCAATGGTCTACATAAGTGTAAATCTATTTCAGTATGGGTTTCTTGCCTCTGATGCTTGCTACCAAACTTAGAGCAACCATGAAATGAGGCATTCTGGGCCTCAGACATCACCATGCAGGGTTGGATGACCTCTGTCGAGCCATGGAAAAGACAGTTGCTGTGGGAGCAATGAACTCTGAGGTCCTTTCTAACACAATTGTTCTCATGGCTTCAGTGTTAACATTTTTTGAATGGTTGTGTCTTTGGATTTTTCATCTGTTCTCTGCGCCTCCGTAGGTTCTCTAACTAGGGATAACCCGCAGGTTGGGTGCATTGGAACAGTTCAGTAGTGAGAAGCTGAAAGTGAGCAGAGACGGAAGGAATTAGGGCATCTGAAGTCTCCCCAAGAGTGCATTCTTTGAGTCACAGGCTGCGTCTTTGATCTCAATAACAAACTTCTATCGATGTCAGCATCTTTCCAGACATAAGAGAAACCTAGTAAGAAGGAAATTGGGTATCTAAGAGTGTTCCAAACCAGAGAAGGACCCAGTGATCAAACAGAGACCAAAGTGAGCAAACCCCAGAGAAGCCTGTCTCTGCCAGCTTCCTAGGGTGCTTTCTGCATCTTTGTTTGAGGGTGGAAGAGTAGCAGATGGACTGGGGCTTTTCACACATTTATTAAAGTCCCCAAATTCCCTTACATTGTAGGAAAAGTAGCCACATCTTTGAGGAACTGAGTGGCACTGAAGGTCCAGATGGAGCAATCAGACTCCCAGGGGGTTGCTCTTTGGAGGAAAGGCCCCAGATCCCTCTTTTCCCAAAGCATACTCCTCTTTCATAGTTCCACCTAATCCTGGATCATCTGCGGACACTCTTCTGATCATTCAAAACTTGCTAACACCTGGCTCCAACTCTGGAGCCCACACCTGTTTCTGAACAGTCCATCCGGCTCTAGCATTACTCCAGGGAATGAATGACATGGAAGCCACTGAGGGGAGAAGGAAAATAATTCTTCTTCTTCTTCTTCTTCTTCTTCTTCTTCTTCTTCTTCTTCTTCTTCTTCTTCTTCTTCTTCTTCTTCTTCTTCTTCTTCTTTTTTTTTTTGTGTGTGTGTGTTTTAGGGCAGGGTCTACAGGGTGTTCAGGGTCTCACTACTAGATCAGACTCGTAGTGATCCGCCTGTTTACAGCCTCCCAAGAGCTGGGATTCCAGGCGGCCACCACACCCAGTCTCAACTACCATCTCAGCATGCCCCCGGGACAGGGCCAGCACGGCACAAACACAAAAGATAAGCCTGAGTGCCTTTCCCGTAGCTCTTGCTTAATGGTGTTGTCCTGCTTACCTTTCTGTGCTAGATTCATGCTCTGAGGAAGACTCTGAACACATGGGGAATACCTATCCTCATTCATCATTTACATATTGAAAATTTGTTCTAAAGCCAGCTGTCGTTTTAGGTCTTGGTTAAATATATGTATTAGCTGAGGCGTAGGTGCTAAAGACAAAGCAGGCTTAAGAGGATTGAATATGATCTGGGCATTATTGACCAGGAAAATGAATGACAACATTCATGCTGGAAAAAATTTATGTCTGTGTGAGTGCAGTCAGGCACATTATAAAGATGAAGCAGTCTAAAGAGAGTAAAACCTGTGTTAGACTGGACACCATGGTTATTGAATTAAACCCTAAAATGGAAGTCACAGCTTACACAAAGGCACTGCAGGAAACTGAATGAATGAGTAAAAGAAAAAGTGCAGATAAATTTCTTAGAACACAAAAGCAAAAGATAAGGAAATGAAAATGAAAGAATAGCATAAATGTGAAAGAGAGATATTAAAGAGCCAGCAACAGGCGTTCCTGAAAATAATTCGCAACAACACTTGCAGCAGTAGTTGTAAGTCGAGAATGTATTAGCTCCTAGCAAAACTGGATTTAAACATCGAATGTGTCCTTAACACTAAAGTAAATAAATAGGATAAAATGGAATACATATACTTCCTGTGGTAAGCAGGGATTTGGGCTTGTCCAGCTCCCAGCTCAAAATGGATTAAAAACTCACGCTTTCAGTGAATCTGCTTTTCCAGCCCATACTTTCCCAGTGGCCTTGCTTCATGAGCGGGTGCTTTTCCTAGCAAGACACCCAGCCTCTCTGCATTTGCCTTCTTTCAGCCTACCCAGCCCAACTGAAAGAGGGAGTTCCTTCCTCTCTACTGCTTGTGCAGTGACCTTGGTGTGATCCTCACTGACCTTGATGGGGTTGGCTTGAGTGCCGCTCTCGTCCTGGGGTCTGCCTGTGTGCCTGAGAAGGGTCTCTACCTAGCAGCACGGCGGCGTGTATCCACTTCTGGAAGGAGGGTGGGCAGCTTTCCCCAGGGCTCATGGGCACTGCCTGTGAGGCCTCTTTGCCAAGGAAAGTGGGGCTTCTATTCCAGAAGACGGGACTGGGGAAGGCTGCGCTGGCTGGAGAGCTTCCTCTTGGGCTTAATCATCAGGGTGGGATTAATAAAAGAACTCCTTTCAGATTTATCCAGGTGGAGCTTTTACACCCGAAAGATGACAAAAACCCCTAGAAATCCATATGCAGGAAGAGAGAATGCTTCAGACTTCTCTGTGACTCTCAATACTAGAAGACAATGACACAAGTCTTTTGAAACATGAAGAAAGGAGTTGCATGACCCAAGCATTTATCCTGTACATAAATAAATTGTCACTTGTAACATGTGAACTTAGAAATGTGATTTCCAGGATTTTTTCCTGAGCCAACGAGTAAAAAACATGTTCCAGAGCAGTAAGGATAAAATAGGTATAAAGCAGCCCCAAGTCCCTTGATTTCACACCTAAACTATACCTCCAAGTGTCCTGGCCCACTCTTCCCTCCGTTGCTGCCCCAGTCCGACCAGGGCCCTGCCTCCTTCACACCACCAGAGCCCGCTAACTTCTCTTTCACATCCAACCTTTTCTAAGCCATTTCTCGCCTAACACCTAGTGGTCTTCTAGTAAATGTGACTGTCTTACTTAAAGTAACCTTTTGGCTTCCTATGGTGTTTAGTGTAAATCTGAGACCTTTCACAGCCTGAAAGACCTTGTGTCACAGCCTCTGCATAGTGTCCCCTACTGGGCCGTCTTTTCCTCCTCACGCTGTGAGCGCACAGCCCCTGCCCATTTTCGCTGTGGACGCCAAGCTTCTCCCCTGGCATGGCCTTGCACACGCAGTGCCCTCAGCTTGGAACTTTTTCCTCAGGCTCCTTTCTCTGGAGGCATCTCTCCCACTACATCTCAGCTTCCTCACGTCCCCTCCTCAAATGCTGTCTGGTCTCATAAGTCACTTTTCAATTCATGCATATATATTATGCACATGCATATATTTACCAGTGCAATATATTTTTGGTGGAAGAAAAAGAGAAACATTGAAATGAGGGAACCATATATAGAATAAATGGATACAGAGAGACGCTAGAGTAACTGACATAACCATAATTTCTAAGGTGAGTCTTTTTTCTTTTTTTTTTTTTGGATTAAATTATTTATTTTTAAGAAAATCTGGACTTCTGTTTGCTAAGTTGTTTTAAATTACTTATTAATAACTTCTTTAAGTTTCTCTGCAAGCATTCGCCTCTTTAGTAATGTCTGCCTCTCCTCTGCTGTCATTTCAGGCTTCTCTGTCATTTCCTCCACCTCTCCAGGGGATTTTCCTTTTTCCTCTGGAGTTTGGATCTGCTTAGTCCTTACATCCTTTCTCATGGACATCAACTTATCTCTCTTCTGCTTGAGATACTGTTCTCGTTGTCGCAGCTCTTCCGTTCCAAGTGCTGACAAATTTGCTATTGGTCCTTCAATGCGTGTATGTTCTAAGCCAGGAGTCATCAGGCCTTTTTGTGAGAAGGAGGAAGTTTCAGGCAACATTTTTGTCTTTCTTGCCAAGGGTTGTGGCAACGGATTATCAAAATGCGCCTTAACTGAGGAAGGCTGTGCCACACACTCGCCGTCGCCTTGGGACTCACTCCCACCTGCAGCTTCGTCAGTGTACCCCCGGGCTGCTTCTGTTTTAGCCTCCAATAGCTGTTTTTTTCTCTTCCTTTCTTCTTCCAACTCATATTCTTCTTTGGATTTTCTAAGAACTTCCCTCAGGATTTTCATCTCTTCCTGCTCAAGGTCACTGACCACATCAGAGCCATCAGTTAAGCAGTCAGGTAACACACCATTTCTCTCTTGAATGATTCGAATGGCCTGCAGCTGCATTTCAATGTTTTTCTGGACCATCATCGTTTTAAAGATGGTAAAATCTTCTGCCACCAACACAGGTTGCAAAATGGCCTGTGATGTTCGAGTCTTTGCAAGAGGAGAAGTGCATGCTTCCTGAAACTGATCTTCGTTAATTCCAATTTCTTTGAGGTAACCTTCTAACAATTTTTCAACTAGTTCTTTATATTCCTGGTGAATCTCTGTATAGGTCAATTTGCTTTCTTCTTCATCATCAAAAACTTTTGGAAAAAGGCACCACAGAAGTCCCAGTGATCTTGCTCTTGCTCCTTTCGATGGTGACTGCCTTCCACCAAGATTCCCGGCTTTGCCGTTCACCTTGTTTCTTTCCTGGAAAAACTGCTCGCAATTGGCAGCATCTAAGATTCCATCTCCTACAGGATGTGTGCAATCAAGGGGGAACTTCAGGACCTGCTTATTTTTTTGCCCCCTTTCTCCGCAAGCTTTTTCACGGTCACCATGGTGGAGTTACTGGAGGTTTCAGTCCATACTCAGCTGGGTCCAACGCAGAGCAGCACAGAGCAAAAAGCAACCTTTCATGGTGGTGGCAAAGAGCAAGAGCGCCCTTTTTTCTTTTCTTGCCATTCCTAAGTATGTAATCCAAAGACAATTACGTCCCTAATGCTGTGCAACCACCAACACTATCTATCTTCAAAACTTTTCCCTTCTCCCAAATAAAAACCCATTCAGCAGAAATGCCTGTCCCCTCCTCCCAGTCACAGTGCCTGGAAAACTTGACTGCATGAGTTTGCCTATATGAGATGTTTTTTTTTTCAAGTTTTATTGATAAACAGATAGCAATGAGACAGTTTCAAATCAAATCAGAAGTAAAGTTTCAACAAATAATACACTGTTATATTCTTCTTAGTGGTTAATTGCTGTACAAGATGCAGACTTGTGATCCTACTTACAAACACCATTAGAA